CGCCTCCCGAGACGTGGCTTGTTACTTTAAGACCCAAGTTTTGTTACAGAATCTGCGGTACCAAATGTTTGATTTAGGTTCCCTAAAAGTTGCAGACTTGTGTCACGGGTGAGGTTGAACTTGACCTTCAACCTTTTTATAGTTAACTTCCTTCTAACCTCACTGGGTCTTGCGAGCAACCAGCCAGAACATAAGGGCCGAGGATTTTCTCAGGCTCTCGTCTCGTCCCACCCTGTCCAGTGAAGTGGCCGCTGGCCGTGGACTGACCGCGCCCTTGAGATGCAGCTGCTCCAGGTGGCGCCCCTGCCCGTGAACGTGAAACCCACGCTGGATTTGGAAGACTGTGGAAAAGAGGACGTCACATTTCTTGATACACCGTATATTGCTACAAGTTGAAATAACATTTTGATAGATTGGGTTAAATATCATTAAAATAAATTTCACCGTTGCAAAAATGTAACTAAGTTCCATTTAATATACTTTGTTCACATTATGTTTTTAATGGATAGTCTTGGTCTAGAAGGTACACCTAAAAGCATTTCTCCTTGTAAACTGCAAAGCAAGATGAAAAATTCCTTTCTTCCTCAAAAACACGAGGGATCGTGATGGTAAGGGCTGAGCCAGGCACCTGTCGGAGGTGCGCGCTGGGTGTCAAGTCTCCTGTTCCATCTGTGCAATGATTAATGGACTGGGTCTGCTGCAGCCACGACCCAGGGGCTTCAGGACCTCAGGACTGCCGAGCAGCCCTCCCGCATTCCTGCTTTGGCTGCAAGGAAGCTGCGGGACCCTCCTTGTCCTCCCATCATCACAGGAACAGGAGTCCTGCCTCCCAGAAGCAGAGCCGGACCTTCGTGGCTGGAGTCCGAGCGCTAATCTCCTAGTGGGGCGATGCGCCAGGACCCAGCCGGAACCCTCCAGCTCCTTCTTGGGTGTTGCGGGGAGGGGGGCTGTGTCGAAAATCATCCCTGCACCCACCACGCCGTTTTTAGGAAGGCTTCAGGCACAGCCCGTCTGAGGCAGGAGCATCTCAAGATACAGCTGTGGTCAGGGGGACAGACAAGTGATGTGATGACACACAAAAAAATATTGCTTGTCATTCGGGCTGGTTCTGGGGCACTCACAGACCTCATCCTTCATAAATAAACGGTGGGGAGACAGATGGTGGCGAGGGTCCTCCATCCGAGCTCTGATTGGCTCAGCGCCCTCTGCTGAGCAGCACCCGCCAACCTTTCAAGCCAGTATGGTGACGTTGGGTGCATGGGACCCCCTTGGCTTCCGTCTTCACACGCTCATGGCCTGAGATGGTGAATGCACGGAAGATGCATCCCCTGATGGACAAAGCATCGGGCGGGAGTCTCTCTCCCACTTGGCTTCAGTCTCTCTTGCTCCGGGGAACGTGGAATGAGGGAGAACAGGGTTTCCAACGCTGTTGAGTGTCCATAACGTGCCTGATGACGCAGAGCCAGCGAACAGCAGACCCAGAGCCCAGGGCTCACCCTGGTGTCACAAGGGACAGTGACATTTGCAGGGGCTGCCCTCACATCTGCTTTGTGCTCTCCTCCTCGGCACTCAAAGAATATTGGAAGTTGGGAGCTCAGACTATTAAGGATTATTTCAGCTGGGAGAAGCTGGGGTGATGGGGGTGAAAGGCTGGTCGGAAGGAAGCTGGGCTGAGCCTCCTTCCTTTAGTGTTGGAGAAAGCTTGGGAGGAAGGGACGGCTGGCGCTGGTGGCTGGGTTGTGGTGTCGCCCAGACCCTGAGTTTCTGGAAACTCCCTGCAATCTTGGCCCAGCTCCGGGGGCTGTGGCAGCTCAGGCTATGCAGGCCTTAGCTGGCTGATACACTAAAAAATGCTGGCCCGGCTTTTAAATTGAATGCTGATGCCAACAGCCCACCTCCCAGCACCTCACCACGCAGAGCACCCGCTTTGTGAAAAGGTGGGCTCGGGGGCACGGACTCCCACCGCCCACCGCCCCGCTGACATGGGAGCAGGATGGAACCCACCCTCCCTCCGCGTCATCCAGAACAACCATCAGCCGGCCACCCTGCCACCCAGCCTCCTGCCCACAGCCACTGCTGCTCGCTCGCCTGCTGGGCCCTGGGGTCTCCCCACCCCCCTCCTCCACACATTTCCAGCTCCATCAGTCAACGCCACCTGCTGTCTTCTAGTTTGGAAATTACTCACACTTCCTCTTCTTGCACTTTTTTTTTTTGCCTTGAGAGCTATTAACGGACTTTTTGGAGTTCAGTGAAACTCAGGAGGGACAGATGAAGTGAGCACCGCCTTTGCCATCTCGAGTCTTGAGCTCTGATTTGGAAACTACCTGCCCCCGTTTCACCGGGGGAGGCTGAGGACCGGGAGCCGCGTCCAGGGCAGGTGTGCGAACTGGCACCAGGGGCCGCCTGGCCTCCTCTGGCTTGATTCCCGTCCCGTTTTAAGTCAGCAAATTATAAAACGCTTCTTTATAAACATCTCAATTAGTGGTTCATCTAAAACAGCCCAATTGTAGCAGCAAAGGATCCGTGAGAGAGACCGTTTCTGACCAAACAGTTGGATTTTTAATCACCTCCCTGTGGAAGGCACATCCGGTCAACCAACGTCAGCGAATTTGTGAGTTTGCGTAATTCATGCCTGTATCTTCCTACTGACCCTGGATAATTTTTCCCTTAGCCACATTTAAAGAAATGTGTTGGTGAACCAAAAGTTTCCTATATTCTTTGAAAGCATCTAATTTCCAGTTCTCCTGAGATTGGGCGCATCACCCACCCCGCTGAACTCAGGGTCCACTCCCTTATCTGCAACTCCCTCCCTCCCCTCCTCCCCCTCCCCAGCAAAACAGTCAGAGCACGTGGCCAAATTTGTTTTTATTCTGCATACATAGGAAACAGGACCCTATCAAAAGAACAGAAAAGAGAAATGAGCCAAGTTGCAGAGGAGAAACATGCACAGATCTGCTCCCAGCCGTGGGCACAGCCCCCCCCCCGCAGCGCGGAGGGACCCGTGGGCAGGTGATGTCGCCGCAAGTGGACTCTCCACACACAGGTGCCCACCGTTCTCAGCCAGGGTCAAGGGGACACAGAACTTCTCTCACACAAACATGAATATAAAAGTGGTGAGTGCCACCGGCACCACCCAGTCTCTTAAAAGCATGTGCTATCAAAAAGATACACAGAATTTAGTCCCAGGCATGTGGGCGTCTGTCCAGCTGCAAAGATCCAATCCAGGGGGCAGCTCTGCGTGTGCTTCGTTATCAAGACAGTAAAAGGGAGAAGGTGATGTTGAAAATGCAAAACGGACGCCCTACAGGAGGGAACTCAGGGAGCCACGGGGCTGCTCTTGGCTGTAAACAGCCAGTGTTGTGCTTTGTGATCTTGTCCCATCAAGGACTGGAGTGTGGGGGCAGGAGCTCAGAGGTCACATGCGGGTGGTCGGAGACACCGGCGGCAGCTCTCCGGGGCCCCTGGGAGGCTCCTGGACTCTCCATCCTCAGGAAAGGGAAGTCTCGGTGGCCCCATCCTGACTCCTCACTCGTCCCCCATAGACCAGGGACACCAAGCCGGGGGCCGTGGGAACGAAGGCAGGGCCCACTCCAGCTCAAGTTCAGTGACTGACAACTTCTCAAGAGGCTCTGATTAGTTCATTTCAAAAAGCGCCCCCCCG